TGGGGGGGGGGGGGGGTGTGGTCCTAGTCCTTCTTCAAAACGGGCACTGGTATCAGAGATGGAACCAATAACGGTTAAACATGGTGCAAACCAGGAGAGTACCGGTATGGAGAAATCCTGTATTTGTGATCCTCGAACGGCTGAAAATCTGACCGCAAAGCAGTTGAAGGGAAGGAGGCAAAAGGAAAAGAAAGCTGCGACCATGGCCACGGCGAGTACTTAAAATCCTTTGGTCTCCGTACAACTGTCTGCATGCCAACCTCCTCATGCAAATGGGGATTTTGCAGGACCCCGAGCATCCGGTGAGACTCAACCATGCCGCTCTGCACCATTCGCAAGAGTGGCTGCGGAGGCAATGATGGTTGAGATACACGCCGACAAAAGCCGAAAGCCTTTCTCGACAGCAATTTATGGAATTGGTGAATCGACAGACGAACCAAAATTCGAGGAAATGCGCGTAGAGGATGATATCGTAAAGTTACAATGCTCAAATGAGTTTTCCTGAGAGTGACTGACCAAAATAATAGCAGGGATGCCAGCCTGCGAAAACTGCAAATTAATCCTAAAAGGTGGAAGCAGTTGAGGGCCACTGCTTGGATACCAGGGTCTTCTCGAAAACCAAGCGAGGTTTTAAAACATATCAGCAGGCATAACGTGGGACTGAATACGAGTCAATGGCACATTGATTCATACACCAGGAAAGGACCGACTCCCAACAAAGTAGAAGGTTCTTTCCTTCTAGAACATGCGAAACTGCGCACAAATCCGCAAATCCTAATTCAGTAACAATGGGTATGCCATGGGCGTATCTGTGGACTTGGAGGGATTTCCTGGTATAACGTCCTTCAATTTCGAGGGACATAAAAGCCGCGCGCATGCACTATATATATATATTATATATGCATTATATATATATAATAATAATATCGAGAACTATATCCGATTTATTAGCATATTTATTGACTTGTATTAGATAAAGGGTTAATAAAACTATCGATGAGAAGAGACTGATGAATTTTAGTGACATTCATTGGCGTAATGCCAAAGGTTGAGAATACTTTCAACCAGCGTACATTATATAAGTTAAAGTCACCTAAACAACACAGATGATTGTCTCCTATCTTATGAGCTAAAGAAATGACGTTGTCAGCATGCGCACGATACAGGTTTTTATTACTATAGGAAACTACAAAAAACAGCGAGCTATGAGCAGGCGATCCACTCACGCAGACACACAGTTTATCCAGAAGGGTATCACTATTTCCAGCATAAAAGAGTAAGAGCGTAGCTTTTGGTGCACTGCGATGAGAACACCATCACCTCTTGCATAGCCCGTTTTGGAGGAGTCTCTGTCCTTCCTATATACATTATAAATTTTTGAGTAAAAAAACTCACTATCGAAGAAGTCATCATTAGGCCAAGTCTCAACAACAATAATAACAGCATAATGCATGTGTTGACTAAAAGCGCGAACTGCTTCTGCTTTCGTTCGAAGACCAGATGCATCTTGAAAGAAGACGTTCAATTCATTTGAAGACCCAATATTTCTGTTTCGTCTTACGTTACCACGTCTTAGCCATCCTTTTTTTAACGAAAAGGGCGTATGAATTAGCAACAAGAGTTTACGGGATGTACATAGCTCAGTGGTTAACGCTTCTGACTTTGAACATCGATTACGCAGGTTCGATCCCTGCTGAAGTCTAGAAAAAAGAAGTCTGATGAGGAGATGTAGTGATCTCCGAAATAGCTGCTATAACTTCTACCGCTTAGACTTTGTTGCTTTTTCAATTTGCCTGAAACTATACAAAAAACAAATAAGCAAATGGATGTATAGAATTGACAACAACACCCACGCTGTTGAGTTTGAATAGCGGCAAATCAGCTGCACTTGATAGTAGTTGGTTGAACAAAGAAAATGAATTAGCAACAAGAGTTTACGGGATGTACATAGCTCAGTGGTTAACGCTTCTGACTTTGAACATCGATTACGCAGGTTCGATCCCTGCTGAAGTCTAGAAAAAAGAAGTCTGATGAGGAGATGTAGTGATCTCCGAAATAGCTGCTATAACTTCTACCGCTTAGACTTTGTTGCTTTTTCAATTTTTCCTAATAAACAATCGTGGTACAAAGCTCAGTAAAAATATTAAAAAAAGAAAAGGGCGTAAGTTAACATTAGCTGGCCAAAGATTCGGTGAAAGCAATTTGTCTTAAAAAGCATTAGAGACGCCAGGCTTGAAATTAACTTCTTTCGAGTAACTGGCGGAGTTTGTTGTTTTATTAAAGTGTAGAATAACAGATGCTTTCTCTCTATACCAGCATACTTAACAACATAGTCAATTATGTTATCCGCAGTGACAGAAGGTAATAATGATGAAAGAAGTAGCCACTTTTCACGATTCACCACTTGCAGATATGAATCTTCGCTAAGTCCAACTACCCTGAGCTTTTTGCGATGATGTCAAGACAATAAAAAAATACGTATTAGTTGTCAAAAATTATGATAATTGTCCCCGCGACGCAGGCGTCCTGACAATAGTTACGACAATTCATTTCGGACGTGAACGTTGTATTATAATATGCATTTCGCGCGAGCTATTTAAACTAAAAAATAATAAACAGAGAAAAATTTGCAAACACATCAGCGTTTTTCAGTTATTATAGTTCTTTTGTTATGAATTTCTCTTTTCTTTCTTCCACAAAACGTCGAAATTATTAGTTGTGATCCCGTACGAGTCCGGACTATTTAGTCACATTTTACTGGAAATCGATCCCGTACTCGGTTCTCTGACTATTGAGAGGACAAAAAAAGAGCAAATATGGTTCTCTCTCTGTCAGAAGTTACCAGTTTTAGTCCGAGAATTTTTTGCTGGTAAATTCTTGTAAATGTGTCAAACGATCAGCTGTAGTGTGTTTGGCAACCAAATTGTAAACAAAAGAAAAGTGCACTCTGCTAATTCATGTTGAAAAGTATTTAATTACTTGTTTAAGTGGACTGTAATGAATCTGAAAGTATTTTTGATTATTTACATGTGTGAGCTGAGTGTGTTTACATACAAAATAAGCAAAAATTTACAACCAAAATTTGGAGGTTATGTTGAAGTTGACAGAGTTTACCATTTTTTACTAGAAAGCCATCCCGTACTTTTCAATGTTACTCTCTCGCTCTGAGCGAATTTTTATTTTTTGACAGTTTTACTAGTTTTAGTCCGAGGAATACGGGATTGCACCTATTGTCTGCATACGTCAAATCATTGTCCGATTTATTGTCTTGAAAATAATCAAGACAGTGCTTGAGACAATTGCAAAAGTATGCATATATTAGTGAAAAAGTGTGCATGTTCTGCTATTGTCATGACTTTAAACCCTAAGTAATATTCTTTAATGCGCCCTATACTTTTTTATCGTTCAACATATGTTCTATGATATTATCCGTAGTCAGGTCCTCTTGAGTGAATGTATATAATCCCTCTCTTTCAAGTGAAAACGATGGGCAATCGAAAATTATGGCTGCATTACAAAACGTCAAAATACTAAGCATCAACCTCTTATTTCCAAACTTCAGCATATTGTGATGTAAAATGTGCGCATCCACGGTTAGATGCTAGTCTTCAATTAGGTTGCGCAAGTAAGACTTTTTCTTCTAGTGCGGTTTAGAAATAAAAGAGGCACATTTTCACATGTACTATATGCCATCGAGTCATTGTGACCATAATAGTGCAGGTACTGTTGAAAGCGGCCATGGCCACTAAGTAATTGAGTCATACATATAACGTCGTTTAAAGTACAAAACCGAGTATCGTCGTTCTGCAAAACCGCGTAACTGACACTTTTGGCCAAAAAATTGGATTTGCTCACGCAAGCTCTTGGCTCAATCCTTATCCATTCGTCCTGAAATATACTGGCCAGAAATGCGAACCATTAGTGTTTTACTCTCTAGAAAATAATTTATGCAACCTCACATACGCAGTTTTGCATTATCTTGATACGTCGTTTTGCATT